CTGTTTACTTAATTAACAGATATGGGTGTCATGCCATAACATATTTTTAATACGACTGAGTTTATATTTAATGTGAATTTAACATTGAAAGTTAATGTGAATAACAACATTGCCAGTTAGGCTATAATCATAACACTTTAATTGTACAGAAAGAGAGCAAAGGACATTTAACGTTACATTATCAAAAAACATTTTCACTGAGTCTAGTTCAAGCACTCTCAAAAACTCCCATTAAAATCACTGAAGCTGTTTACACTGTGAAATATCTTACTTATTTATACACACATCTGCACTTTGTTGTTTCTAATGAGAGAATTCGCCAGTGAGAGAATTCGCCAGAAAGAGGTATTCAGTGAGCGAGTGAACAAAACACAAGCATTTTAGCGATGACTCATCGGAACACCTCTGATTGGCCATTGCATTGATAAGCTCAACAGAATCGTGTGTGATTGGTTATAATGCAGCGCTGTACAAACGCGTCTGTATCTGGCTCAGCGCCAGCAGCGAAGCAGATTTGAATTTAGCAGCTGATGATATGAAGCACTGAACGATATAATCACGCCGGTGTCATCGTATCAAATATAACAAATATTATTCGGCTATTTTTTGTCTTTTGGAAGCTGCATTCAAAATCCCCTTGGCTCATAAATCTGAGGGGCACGTGAATGAATGGGTTTTGGATAATGGCTGTATGTTGTTTGTGTGGCTGTGCAAATCTGCGCTATATGCAGTAACTAACGGCTCTGGAACAGTGCTGAGCTGTAGAAACATATATAACTCATCCTCTGGTTTGAGTATTTGAAGAATCAACATAGAAAGAATTCATCTTTAAAAACATGTCCAAATATTTCAGTATATGTTAATTCATTATTATATTATTTATATTATATTACTTTCATTTATTTATTTATTTTCCTTAGCGTTTATCTTCATGTATTTGCTTGCATTTCGTACTGTAGATTTGCCATGTTCATAGTAAATAATAATACATAAATAAAGGGATCAGTGTCCAATCCACTGATCTATAATAGAGAATATATATTACATCATTATTTATTATATATAGATCAGTGTCCAATCACAAATATGCAGTCATAGAAGCTCTTCCGCTACAGTGTTTCACATTAATAATATTATATACCACCTTTGGTCATGTTATTTTATTATTGATCCGCCCCCCCCTCCCCCATATTTATGTTTATGTTCATTTTATGTTGTTGTTGTTGTTATTCTGTCTTACATGATTTAAACTGTAGGACATTACCTTCTATCTGCCTTTTTTAAAATTTATTTCTATATTTGTCTTTTATTAAAGATATAACATTCACAGGGGACACAGTCAACGCAATAAAATACACACACAACCAGAATACAAAACAGTAAATATATAAGTAATAATAAAAATGAAATATAAACATAAAAAACAAATAAATAAAAAGTTAACATCTTTTTTATTTTATAAATAAATAAATCATAAATAAATTAAAATAAAAAATACCTAAAATGATAAATTACACATAAAATGTCAGCTTCAGAGAATACTCAGGAGGTAGCCCTTACATCAGTCATTGTTGTTTCCATCAATACAGTAGTTAAAATAGTTTCCATCAATACAGCTATTTTTTGTCTTTTGGAAGCTGCATTCAAAATCCACTTGACTCAAAAATCTGAGGGGGCACGTGGTCTCTGCATATTACTTTAAAAGAATGTACTTAAGTGTGAACTTAAAGCGATAGTTCACCCAAAAATGAAAATTACCCCATGATTTACTCATCCTCGTATATGACTTTCCTCTTTCAGACGAATGCAATCGGAGGTATATTAAAAAATGTCTTGGCTCCTCCAAGCTTTATAATAGCAGTGAATGGTGGTTGACATTTTGAAACCCAAAAGGCGCATCTATCCATCATAAAAACTACTCCACATGGCTCCGGGGAGTTAATATAGGCTCCCTGAAGTGAAGTGATGCATTTGTGTTAGAAAAATATCCATAATATATACAAATTTATAAACTCTATAATATCTAGCTTCCACTAAGTTCACGAGAGAGTGGCGTTCCAGCAAATGACGTAGAATGTAGGCATAGCGAAAATATTGTTTTGCCCATATAATAAACATAATGAGGTTGATTCAGCAAGAATAGCATCCCAACTAGATTTGACATTTCTGCAGAAAAAGTGACACAGACACACACACACCAACCTACCCACATATGTGGTTCATGGGGACTCTCCATAGGCGTAATGGTTTTTATTCTGAGCATATCCAATTTTCTATCCCCTAAGGAAAACCTTTGGCAGTTTTTGAATTTAAAAAAACACTTTTTAGTATGTTTTTAAGCCATTTGGTTTACGAGGACACACTCTTCTCAACAAGCCGTGTGATTTGAGGTGTCACACATGGTTTGGGATCATTAATGCCTTCATAAGCATGACAAATTACAGTATCTGGTTTTGACAGCCTGTTGATTTCTTCATCTCATCTGGCTGCTTAGGAGGGTGAAGATAAGAAGTTCCTTATAGCTAAACTGCAGGCCCTCAATGAGGCAGGTGCTCAGCAGTAAGGTGAGCTTTCAGTCTGTCATTTTAACTAGAAATACTCACTTTACTTTCTTTTGTGCATTCAGGATGTTTGATGTTCAGATAAAGTAATGTTTGACAGATGAAGACAAATTCCACACCTTTCAACTTGCAGTGGTTGATTTCCTTCTTGTGAACAGGGCTGTGTTTCCACCTGCTGATTACTTGTTTTATCCAGGAAGGCTGAATTCTACAGAAATGAATTTGGAAGAATGCATTGTGGTAACCCCTTCAAAAATCATACCTGAGAAACCGGTGCATCTTATATAGAACTCAGACAACAGCTCCTTTTTTTGGAGACAAATGACACTGATATTTAGTAGTGTTATTGTCCATTTAGTCATATAACATTTTTTGAAATGTAAATGAAAAGGTTTATTTTTGCTTATGGAAATGGTTTTGTCTGTCAGTTCTTTGTGGAACTGCTAAAAAGCTGTATTTTTGTATGCTTGAGGATGTGATGATAATTTTAAATATTTAGAGAAGAGTTGTATAGTGTTTCTTGCGACATGTTAATGATGAGATTGACTTCAGTTTATCTATCTGCTGCTGTGGTTTGATCATTTGAAATCAATCAATAAATGCAACATATCTGTGTTACATGCATGCTCTGTGTGGTTTGACCTAGTTTTTCCCCAGTCTGCTTAATTAGTCATTCAGTTCACCTGTTGTCTGATTATCTCATTAGTTTCCCTTTGTTTGGTTCCTGCGTATAAACCCTATGTTCTCCTTCAGTATTTGTCCGTTCTCGTCTACACTTTGTGAGTCTCCTGTTGTGTTCCTGTGGATTTATCTATTAAAGACTGTTATTGTTAATTCTCCTTTGTCGTGCACTTTACTCACAACAACCAATCGTGACAATCTGTAAAAGGCAATTATTTGTGAATAACTGCTGTTATTTTTAATTGCTATTGTTTATCACACACAACTCTGTGAAATACCTGTCTGATTTGTCAAATGCAGCATTCCATGATCATGTTTTTTTAATCTTATAATCTTTCCACAGTGCTAATGTCTTTTGAATGATTGTTAAATCCATTTTGTGATAGAGATCAGCTGACTGAACATAACTCCGTAATTTTATTGGTGTAGGGCTATTTCCATTGGACAAAGACTGCTAAGGTCATTTAATAGGACATTGTAATGTACAATATGTGGGGCTACAGATTTTATCTGAACCTGTCAGACTGAAATCTGAAGATTTGTGGTCACATGCTGCTGACCAGAGCTCAGAATCCCATGACATTCTGCATTCTGTGGGAGGAGTTTCTTTTATCTGTCTGACATCCTCCTTATAAAGGAGCTGTAAGGAGCTACTTTGGCTCATTTGGCTCCCGACATCACATCACATCAACTTCACAGTCATTCAGTCACCTGAAGAAGGTATGTGCACTGCAGTGTGTTTCTTTTCCTCTTGTAGTTTAGCCTTTTTTTTTTTTTTTTTTCTCCTTCAGTATTTGTCCGTTCTCGTCTACACTTTGTGAGTCTCCTGTTGTGTTCCTGTGGATTTATTTATTAAAGACTGTTATTGTTAATTCTCCTTTGTCGTGCACTTTACTCACAACAACCAATCGTGACAATCTGTAAAAGGCAATTATTTGTAAATAACTGCTGTTATTTTTAATTGCTATTGTTTATCACACACAACTCTGTGAAATACCTGTCTGATTTGTCAAATGCAGCATTCCATGATCATGTTTTTTTAATCTTATAATCTTTCCACAGTGCTAATGTCTTTTGAATGATTGTTAAATCCATTTTTCAAATGCAGCATTCCATGATCATGTTTTTTTTAATACTGTATAATCTTTCCACAGTGCTAATGTCTTTTGAATGATTGTTAAATCCATTTTGTGATAGAGATCAGCTGACTGAACATAACTCCGTATTTTTATTGGTGTAGGGCTATTTCCATTGGACAAAAACTGCTAAGGTCATTTAATAGGACATTGTAATGTACAATATGTGGGGCTACAGATTTTATCTGAACCTGTCAGACTGAAATCTGAAGATTTGTGGTCACATGCTGCTGACCAGAGCTCAGAATCCCATGACATTCTGCATTCTGTGGGAGGAGTTTCTTTTATCTGTCTGACATCCTCCTTATAAAGGAGCTGTAAGGAGCTACTTTGGCTCATTTGGCTCCCGACATCACATCACATCAACTTCACAGTCATTCAGTCACCTGAAGAAGGTATGTGCACTGCAGTGTGTTTCTTTTCCTCTTGTAGTTTAGCCTTTTTTTTTTTTTTTACATTTTCTACATCTGTTAATCATTAAATGAACTGTTTAATTCTGGTAGTTTTGTATAATTGCTTGTCTTATGGTTCTTTGTAATCCTAGAATGGCTGGTCCAGTCATTGTATATTCTACTCATTCTGTATAAGCCCTGTAAAAATGATAATTGTTATTATACAATGAAATTATTTCAGTCTTTATACTTTAAAATTACACATTTAATTCAATGTGTATCTTGTCTCTTTGTAATTGTTTGTGAAATTTACTAGTGAAAATTGTTTCAAAGTAAATCCTGCCATTTTTTTTTTCAATGTAGAGTTTATTCAACAATGGAGTCCTCACGACGTTTATACATCCACATACCAGATGAATATGAAGAATTTCAAATATCTGGTGAATGGGTAAGCTGACTAATTGTTGCACTGTTACAATGTCGGAAATTAACTTTCCTGCCATGCAGGAATTGATTTTTCAGGGTCATTTAATACCAAATACATAAATATTATTAATTGTTTCTAATAAATTCTTAATTCGAATGGCAGTTAGTTATAAAATTAAATCAACAGAAGAAAACTGGGTATAAATATTCCATCATAATAGAATAAAACAAAACATATCACAGCTTGAATGTGGAAAATGACTGACAGGTAGAAAGAGGCTCAAAGTCATCGGATTGGCTTATCAAAGAAACAAACCACAATCCCATTTGTTTTGCAGTTGCCAGAAGCTTTAGACAGGTTTGATCATTTAGGACAGCAAAATCAGTGCTGCTTGTCAGGTAATATTATCTGAGTGGCATTTCATAAACAGTCACTTACAGCGCCTTTAATTGCCACTGGCTTTCAATCTGTTTTAGGCACAGACTGAGTTTGAGGTTTTGCCAGAGACGCTGAGATAGGCTCCAGAATCCCTGTGAAGCCAGACATACCACAAGAGATTTGGAGAATGAATGGATGGATATGATTTGTATGTGATTTGATTTATGTCTTGTCTACCTTTCTTAGGACCATGGGATTGTTGTTAGAGATTTGAATCCATATTTGACAGACAGTGAGCTTCACAACTACTTTGAAAAATTTGGGACAATTACAGAATGTGTAGTAAGTACTTTTATAATTGAAAACTTTTAACAGGGCATATATATGTTATATGGAATGTTATTGCTGAGTCTAAATCAACTTCTATCTCATTTAGTTAGTTGGTGGGATGATTTATGTTGCTTTAGTAAAACAGACCAAATTTATTGTCCCGCTTTTAACCTTCTCTTTAGCAAATTTTAAAGTAGTTGAGTTAAAAAAAAAAAAAAATAAATAAATTTCAGTATGTTAGGTCAAACATTTAACCCAGTCAGCCTAGCGCTGAGTTTGTCTATTTTTGACCCAGTGCTGGGTTGCCAAAATGACCCACATTGGGTTGTTTTCAACCCCAAATTTTATAGTGTACTTAGATGACCTCATATTTGTGATGATCTTTACTGTTAACTTTTACTCCTCTTGTAATTTGATAACTTTTCTCAATGAACAGTTTACAATCGACAAGTCATCAGGATGGCCAAAGGGTGTGGGCTTTGTGAGATACTCATCTGCAGAGGAGGCTAAAGCAGCAGAAGAAGCCGGGCCACACTGCCTTGGAGGTTTTCACTTATGGATCAACAAAGTTGTTACACCAAAAGTGAGTCAATCTGTTGTTTGTAGCAAGAAGGCCTATAATTCCTGTTTAAAAGACCAGCTTAGACTTCCATGCTGGTATGGATTGGCTCATGCTGGTTTGGTGCGGCTCATGAAGGTGACCCAGCATAGTCATGTCCTTCACCAGAAAAATGGTCCTTCTGATTAATCTGTGGTGTGTTTTCCAAGAGCAGCTATGGTTGCATGTTTTGTCTTTACCAATAGAGTTCAATGGAACTTAGTTGGCTAACGATGCTTTGGGGAACCCACCCCAGGTTGACCAAAGGAAGCTTGTGATTGACTGAAGGTGTGGTCACATTTACTGTTGCTCTGCGAAATTTTGCGTGCGAGTTTTGCTCATATTCGTGTTGGTCACATGAATTCGCTGTTAAACCTGCTTGTTTTTAAAGTGGCTTATGTGTGAGCTGTGTTTTTTACATCTCTACACTATTGAGAAGAGATAGTGGACCTTTCATTGCATGCAAAAGCTCGCTGCAACTTTGCTAATGTGATCGCAACCCTACAAGGACCAGCATCCAAAACACAACATACACTGATGACTAACAGGGCTTGTCTTTTCAACAGGATTCCTCTAGAAATCTATTCAATAACATCCATTTATTTGATATGGCAGTTGCTCGGTTTGGGACTTTTGTGTAAATTCTTGTACTACAGACCTCATTTCATGCTTTGGAATGGAGCAGCACACCATGAACCCAGTTACATATGTCTCTCTCTCTCTCTCTCTCTCTCTCTCTCTCTCTCTCTCTCTCTCTCTCTCTCTCTCTCTCTCTCTCTCTCCCTCTCCCTCTCTCTCTTTTAGATGGCTGCCCAGAACAGATTTGACAATCAGTTAAATAGTCTTCCATGCCAATCCTTTCAAACAGACCTGTGTGTGAATTAGAAGTGGAATATAGGAGCACCGACAGTTACTGGCTGGAATGATTTACACTAAACCTCATCCTACCACAATGTGAACTAAAATGTTTTTGCATGATAATCCAGTGTATATTGTTACATTTTCTACCTAGCATTAAAACCCTGTTTGTTCTAATGTAACATTAAAACCTTGTTTGATTTAATGTCTGTATCCTGTAAATGATCACTTTTATGTGTATACCTGAAACGTTGAATACATTTATTCTCCGAGCAGCTCTTATTGATGTTTATTGAAAGTTTTGTTTTTCTTAAGGATTATCTTCAGCTTTTACAACAGAGAGCTTAAGTAGAACTGAACTGACTTTTTAGGCTCAACTAATCTGAATTGACTTTACAGCTAGACTCAGCAGTCTAATAATGAGAATGCTTGGGGAATAATAACAATTTTGAGTCAAAATTATTATTATTACTTTAATATGGAGTGTTCCTGTGGAAAACATCCTTTATTTTTATGTTTATTTACTCTGAATTGTTTACACTCTATTTTAAGGTCAAATTCCCGCTATTAACAAACCATTAACTATGACTTTTGTTTCAGTAAACTCCTATTTGGCTGCTTATTAATAGTCAGTAAGGTAGGCTAGTTGTTAAATTTAGGTATTGGGTAGGATTAGGGATGCAGAATATGGTCATGCAGAATATGTACTTTATAAGTACTAATAAACAGCCAATATGTTAATAATAGGCATGCTAATAAGCAACTAGTTAATATTGAGAATTGGTCCCTATACTTAAGTGTTACCTCTGAATTTGTAAAAATTAAAATTAGAAATACTGTAGGACTAGACTACTCAAATGAGTTATTGCATAACTAAACTCTTTATTCTGCACATTGACATCAGTCAATAATATCATTACACTAAAATACCATGCTATTTGTTCGCATTCAAACTACGTGAAATCAGCAGGCTATCTACTACCATGATTACAAACTGTTTTCAATTTGTTCTCAAGAAAGCTTATATGTGGACCAAGGAGCTCTAAAATATAGACAATAAAAGATGTCAACATTCTAAACTTAAATAACATTAACATATTTTGGCGATTAAAAGTAAGCGAAATTTTCCATCAAATATTTATTCTCCATAAACGCTTAACAGCCATTCGTGTTGTCGTTGTGTGTTAGTGCGCTAGAGGGCAGCAGCAGCAGCCGTCTGTCCGATATGCCATTCAGCAAACGAAGAAGCCGATTCTTTTAGTAGTACTGGAGCCCAGCGTGTCAGAATGGCGAACGCGGGAAATGAAGTCGTGTTTAAAAAGGTATATTTCAATACGTTTTCAACTCTTTAACAAGCAGTTCGTAATAAGATATCAAGTTGAACGTATTAGGAGGATCATTAGCGTTTTCATGATACGACGGCGTTACATCATTCCCATTTTTAAAGATGAACCTTCTTATGTTTTTAAGGAAACTGTTGCCAAACTTTTGACACGCTCTTTCAAGGAGGACAAAACCAAAGGTGAGACCGTTATTTTTGGGAAATAGTCAACCACACACAGGGTTCACAATATTATATTTGCTTCACTTGTCAGTGTGTGGTTGAGAGAGGGAGGGACGTTATTGCTCAAAGAAATTGTTGTGCGTTTAAATGTTTTTTAGTCGTAAGTTTCTTGCTTACCTGTCAATTTCAGAACACACCATGATCTTGTTCTTCATTTTGTGGTTAGGAGTGTGTTGCTACTTACACATATCCCCAAAAAATAAAGAAATAAAGCAAATTCCTTCGTATTCCCAGCTAAACGTCTGGTGGTGAATTTTGCATTTATGTAAAAACACTGAGTTTAGAGATGTACCTGAGTGTATTGCTGGGTTAAATTATACATTTAAAGAGGTAAACATGTGTGTTACATTCGTGCAGACAGGAAACTGAACAGAAGCCCATATTTTACAGACTAAAACAAGTATGTGGTCTTATGGGTGTTTTCACACCTAGTTTGTCTGACCACTCCCAGTGGTCTTGATATAATGTGCATTTGAACACCACAAATGTGACCCTGGACCACAAAACCAGTCATAAGGGTCAATTTTTCGAAATTGAGATGTATACAACATCTGAAAGCTGAATAAATAAGCTTTCCATTTATGTATGGTTTATTAGGATCAGACAATATTTGGCTGAGATTCAACTACTTGAAAATATGGAATCTGAGGGTGCAAAAAAAAAAAATCTAAATATTGAGAAAATCGCCTTTAATGTTGTCCAAATGAAGTTCTTAGCAATGCATATTACTAACCAAAAATTAAGTTTTGATATATTTACAGTAGGAAATTTACAACATATCTTCATGGAACATGATCTTTACTTAAAGGGGTCATATGATGCGATTTCAATTTTTCCTTTCTCTTTGGAGTGTTACAAGCTCTTGGTGCATAAAGAAGATCCGTAAAGTTGCAAAGACTAAAGTCAAATCCAAAGAGATATTCTTTATAAAAGTTAAGAGTCAACCACGCCTACCTAAAACGGCTCATTCTCACACGCCCCCACATGTCTACGTCACGATGTGGGAAGACGTCGCCCAAATGTTCACGCAAAGAAAGGCGTAACTTTTATTCTCGCTCAGTAAAAATCGCTTTGTAAAAATCGACACGTTTCAGAAAGGCGGGGCATAGAGGAGAAACAGTAATGTACAGTATGTGGAAAATGTGTTTTTTGAACCTTAAACCGCATAAACACATTTCATTACAACAAATACACAATGTTATTTTTTGCAACATCATATGACCCCTTTAATATCCTAATGATTTTTGGCATAAAAGAAAAATCGATAATTTTGACCCATATCATTTATTGTTGGCTATTCCTACAAATATACCTGTGCTACTTATGACTGGTTTTGTACTCCAGGGTCACATATTTGTTATTCGCAATACTTCATGGGGTCCCTTGACCACCCAATGCATGGTGCATTCAAATCATTTCAGAAAGATTGCATTTACAAGTTGAACACAGAACACAGGGGGAAACTCAGAATTTTGGAAGCCCAGAGTTTCCAAGTTGGGGATGGTAAATTTGTTAAAATTAATGAAATGATTAAGATTTGTTTTTCATTCACAATAAACCTTTCCAAGCTGCATGTATGCGATAGAATATGCAACAATTTAATTTACAGCACCTTTATAAATTTAATAAAAACATTACAAAATAGAAATACAGATGCATATTCTTTATTCATCTTTAGCTTTTCCATTCACTTTAACTCAACTGAGTTTGGTTCATTTAAAGTGTCTTATTAAACCACCCTTACAATATCGATCAGTACATGTGGTTTTGCATACATGTGTGAGGGTACGGATGAAGACAGAAACACAATTAAGAAAAAATGGTCCGTGAGATCAGGCAGCTGAACAGCATTCAGTTTTGAAGTTTTTCTTCCACAGTCAGCAGTGATGCTGGTGATGCTGTCGCAGAGATGTTGAAAGTATTTGTTGAAGGTAAGGCAAACTTTACATATGCAGTCATTTTGTACTTTGTTACAGTACAGTGTAATATAATTTTCTTCAGTATTATTATGACAATTGTCTGTATGCTACAGAGGCGACACGCAGAGCTGTAAAACAGGCCGACAGTGAGGACTGTGACACTGTTGATATTGAACACTTTGAAAAGATTCTGCCACAACTGGTGAGTTTTATGTTTATGCATGTGCTTGATGTATCTGTTTTTTTTTTATATTTTTGTTGTGAGTTATTATTTTGATTACAAATCATTTATGGTCATGTTATTTGGCCCTCTGCTAAGAATTAATCTACTCAAATTGAATTTTTATATATTTATAAACATTTATATATTTATATTTCTAGAAACATTTACATATTATTAAATTATAGATTTTTTTTTTCCAAAGAAAAAGGATTTTGAAATATGTTACACAATTCTGTGCTCTTTTGTCAGTTGTTTCTGTGCTTTTAATAAATCGTAAAATATTAGTTATTTTTCCGTCTCATTTTGTGTATTTTCTGTTCCATAGTGAAACTAGTTTCTCACAGTGTATTAATAAGAAATTTCCTTTGCAGCTTCTTGACTTTTAATTTTGCTGAGGAGCCAGCAGATGGCAACATAACCTAGTTCTGCTGAACATGGAACATCCTGGACTTCACTTTGAATATTCGCACATGCTTCAATCTTTAGACTTTGTATTAAAATGTATTAGATGTATGACTGATTTAATAAAAAAAACTTATTTTATCAACAGTTATTTTACAT